CCTTCCTTCCTTTCTTTCTTTCTTTCTTTCTTTCTTTCTTTCTTTCTTTCTTTCTTTCTTTCTTTCTTTCTTGACACAGGGTTTCATGTAGCTCAGGATGGCCTGGTACTCATAGCAGTCCTCCTACCGTAGCCTCCTGAGAGCTCATATTAAAGACCTGGACATCTCATGGGGCAGTAAGCATACACTTCTGATGTCTTCCTATCCCTGCCTCCTCCTGTCTCAGCCAGGATTGGAATTTGCTATTACTGTGTCCCTGAGCACAGCCTTACACTTTCTTCACATGCCACAAAGGTGGAGAAGGAAATAAACGGCAGGTGATAGCAAATGATTCCCTCTCGAAGAGCTGTGGGACACAGGAAATGATGGCTCGTGGACACTTGACCCTCACATATAAATGATTCCCTCTCACAGAGCTGTGTGACACAGGAAATGATGGCTCATGGACACCTGACCCTCACATATAAACTGTTTACTTCTCATATAAACACTGCACAATTTAAACCAGTTATGGCAGCACAGACTGTAAGTCTCAGCCACCTGGGAAGGACTGCTGAAGTCTACAGATTAGAAACCACCGTGACGACAACAGGAGACTATCCAAAAAAACTTCAGGAACCTCTGGGGATAGGGATATAGCTCAGTTAGAAGAACTGAGAATAAATCAGGTATGGTGGTACATCGCCATTATCCCACCTCTCAGTAGGCAGAGACAACAGGATCAGAGGTCCAAGGCTATTCTTTTTTATTTTTTAAGATTTATTTATTTATGTTATGTATATGAGTACACTGTCACTCTCTTAGACACACCAGAATGGCATCAGATCCCATTACAGATGGTTGTGAGCCACCATGTGGTTGCTGGGAATTGAAGTGAGGACCTCTGGAAGAGCAGTCAGTGTTCTTAACCTCTGAGCCATCTCTCCAGCCCTTTTATTTTTTCCTTTTTTTAAAAATTATCTATTTATTTATTTATTTATTTTATGTATATGAGTACATCATTGCTGTCTTCAGACACACTGGAAGAGGGCATCAGACCCCATTACAGATGGCTGTGAACCACGATGTGGTTGCTGGGAATTGAACTCAGGACTTTTGGAAGAGTAGTCAGTGCTCTTAACCGCTGAGCCATCTCTCCAGTCCCTAAGAAATATTTTTTTAAGTGCTGTGAAAAAGCTTTTACCAACTGAGCCATATTACCAACTCCCAAAAACATGATTTTAATTTGTCTCCTGCTTTGATAATACCACAATGGCAAGAACACCTGCACTGAGCCAACACACAAAGGTAGCCTTTGGGTTCTGTCCTGAGGGTAAACATTTGCTTATGCAACTGCTGCTAGACTTTACATGCAGAGTTCTAGAGTGTTCTGTTGACTACATACCGTACACATAGCCAACACATGCTTGCTCCACTGCGGAGTAAGGGATCTGTGCGTCTGCCAATGCCTTCTGGCCTGTGAAAACAAACTGAGCTCATCAAAAAGCACTTGACAAAGGTGGCTTCAAGGGAGTGGAAATTCTGTTTAGAGTTTCCTCAGATTCTATTTACTTCTTTATCGTTTCTTCAGTTCAAAGACAAAGTGGCCCCCAAATCATCGTAGCTATCCCCTTCTTCCTCTAAGCCATCATCACTTCACTGTTCCCTGTCTTCTTTCTCATCACAGGTGAAGACTGCCACACCCATTTTATGTAGTGAGGGGAAGCTAAACTAGAGTGACAGGATCTAAGCAACCCTACCACTGAGCTACATCCTGGTGCCTAACCAAAAGCCTTTAAGCTGCCTTTCTGTCTGCTTGTTACTTGGGCTTCTTAGTGTTGCTGTCATTTTTTAGACAGAGTTGGGGCTGGCCTATAAACTACTACGTAGTCCACACTGGCACTGAACTCACAGCAATACTGCCTCAGCCTCCCAAATACTGGGATTACATGTGTGTGCCACCACACATAGCTCTTAAATCTCCTTAATAGCAACATCCTTGTCTCTTTCACCTCCACATCCCCACACATCTAGGGGAGCAAATGTCCTTGCTGGAGAAAGTTAGGGGGAGTGGGACATTACTGGTACACTTCTTTAATCCCAGAACTTGGGAGCCAGAGGCAGGTGAATCTCTGGGAGGTCAAGGTCAGCCTGCTCTACATAGTGGGTTCCAGGGCAGCCAGAGCTTCAATAACAGAGACCCTGTCTCAAAAAAAACAAAAAATGGATGTGCCCATTTCATAAAGCTAGGATCAGTTGGCCATCCTGTCTGTGGAACAAGAAACAGAGCTTTGGAAGCTTCGGTATAAAACCAGCATGTACCAAGCCCTGGATTTGATCCCTAGTGACCAATAAACTAGGTGTTTACATATAGGTGGCTACATATTCCTGTAATCCCAATACTCAGGAAAGTGAAGGAAGATAACCAAAAGTTTAGGGCCATCCCCAGCTGTACAGTAAGTCTGAGGTCAACTTAAGACACAGAAAACAAACACACACAAAGGAGCAGTTTCATATTCTGTCAGTGATATTCCAAATGTGAATTTGTCAAAAGTCTTTAAAAATGTTCATAGTTATTATTCCAGTGATCGAACTGCTAGACTCTATCTTCAAAAATAAAAAAGGAAGACCAAATATTTCTTTCTTTTTTTTTTTTTTTTTTGGTTTTGGTTTTTCGAGACAGGGTTTCTCCGTGTAGCCCTGGCTGTCCTGGAACTCACTCTGTAGACCAGGCTAGCCTCGAACTCTCGAACTCAGAAATCCGCCTGCCTCTGCCTCCCAAGTGCTGGGATCAAAGGCGTGCGCCACCACCGCCCGGCTCAAATATTTCTTTATCAATATGGTCACAGAAGTTATTCTGAAATACAAAGAACTTAGGAACATAAGTCTCCAAAAACATAATAGCATAAATAAGATAAAGTGTTGGTATAAAAATTAAATTTTCCTAAGTAATTTTAAATAAAGCATGAAATGTCTCATAATAAAATTAGTTTTAAAAATAGAATACAAAGAAGGGCCCGCATGGTCTACAAAAATGTTGCTTATGTAAAATTTATATTAACAAATAAGCTAGGGGCTTAGGGGATATAGCTCAGTGATAAAGTACATGATGTCCTGGGGCCATCGGTTCAATCCATAGTAGAATATATTAAGGAAAGAAAGAGAGAGAGAGAGAGAGAGAGAGAGAGAGAGAGAGAGAGAGAGAGAGAGAGAAGAAGGAGGAAGAAGAGGAGGAGGAAGAAGAAGAGGAAGAGGAGGAGGAGGAAGGAAGGAAGGAAGGAAGGAAGGA